AATTAGTTTATAAAAAATATGGTATAATTAGTTGTTGGTGAAATTTTATTTATGTAATATTTAAAATAAAATAATTAAAGTTGATTTAATGTAACAGTATGATAATAATAATGTGAAGTGATGATAAGTTAAGCTTATATAAATGGATGGACAAAGAAAATTAAGTCAGAATTTTAAGTATGAATTGAGTTTATTTATAAACAAACCCACCATTTTATCATGTTGTGGCCATCTTTTTCACATGTTGGAGCTTAACGGATATGCATATACTTCGCCTTCAACTAACCCAAACCAATGTTACCTTCTTCAATAAATGCATTCCTCTAATGGAAAATTGCATTACGCAAAATAATGGTTAGTTTTTGCATTTTACTTGGCGTAATTAGAAAGTTGTACCTGGGAAATTGATTTTACCCAAGCGATTAAGTGCATCTTTATTGTGCTAACATTTTGAGGTTCGATTCCCATGTGGTGCGTGAGTAAAGTTTTTCTCATTTTTTTTTTTTCTCCGTCTACTAAATTCGGTATGAAAACAAGCGCAACAGACAAAAATACTACCTACAATAAATATGATATAGTCATACTGTCGTATAACGGTTCAATACCATCGCGATTCAGAGACTACCGAGTCGACTTATGCGAAGTCGACTCTGTCCGCAGATTCTTTATGGTATCTTCGGTCAAGGGTCCAGGCATTTCTCCCAGTCGACTTCCACATGTCGACTAGCATAAGTGGATTTCCTCTTGGAAGACGGTCAAACGCGTGAGGATCTATTAACAATTGAATATGACCCAGTCGACTCGAGTTGATATCCCGAGTCGACTGAGGAAGTCTTGAAGCTCATAAGATCTCGACCACTCCAGTGCACTTCAACATATCGAAGGACAGTTGTTAAGGATAAGAAGGAAGCTACCAAAGATAAGGAAGAATCTAGATGCTGACTAGGAAGTGGACGGAATGCGAACCGACCAGGGTATTTTGGACATTTCCAGTAAGTCGGCCAGGGCATTTTGGGGACTTCAGGTAAATGTTTTACTTCTATATAAAGGAGCTGAGGTAACTCCAAAACCCTAACTCCCCTTCATTTTACATTCTCCTCCATTGCTGCTGCTTCCTCAGAGCAGCTCTTTTCACTCTTTTCACATACTGACTTGAGCGTCAGAGGCTCTACGCCGGAAATCCAGCGTTGAGTTCTTGCAGGTGTTCTCGCGGTTCGATAGCAATTTGGAGACCATCAAGACAGATCTGAGCTCGTTCTCATCGGTTCATTCCAGATCCGGGCGATTTTCCACCGGTTCACCCCGGATCCGAGAATAGACCCATCAAAATATGACAAGCACCACTACTAAGAAGAATAAGCCAACACAAATAAATAAAAGACGAAAAATAAAAAGAACACAAAAATTAATAACGGAGTTCGACAAAAATAGCCTATGTCTCCGGGCATCACCAACCACAACGCTAAGTTTACTAAATTCATCAACAGAATACAACTAGGGTTAAATAATCCACAAATTAGGATTTTCCTAATTATGGTTTCTTTCTAAGAGAGGAGAAAAAAGAATAAGTGCAATTGTAACCCGAAGACAATGGACCTATTTATACTAAAACGATCCTACACATCTTTGGTATACATTCGATGTGAGACAACAGTTAATCAAAATCTAACAATTAGTCCATGCCATGTCATGACACTACAATTCCATTTACATCATTGTTTGGCAAGTCAAATGCACATTTCTTGTGTGTTTTTATATATACTAGTATCCACCGTGTGATGTACAAGAACATTATTACCCACTGGCTTTTTAAAAAGTAAATTTTTATCTAAATTGTCATGGCATTAAAATATCCTGAAAAAAAAAAATTATATATTTTTGAACAATTACTTATACACAACATTCTTAGTTTGATGAGGTTTGTTGAAAAAGATAAATATATTTTAAAGAGATAAATATAATTAATTTACTACCAAGTATGTTTATAGGATATGCATGATTTTATTCATGAAACTGATACCAAAACATTTGATCTGAAATAACTTAGCCAAAATACACCCAAAAAAAATGTAAAAAGAATATACTATGTTTCCTAATTGTGCACCATATTGTTACCAAACATTGAATTGGATATTTTCATCAAAATCTCATGGTTATAAACAATAATAACTCACCTGTTTTTTACAAGATATCACGTAAATGCATCAATTTTTATTCCATAACAACTGATTTGAAATTATTTCACCAACTCTTGGTAAATTTTTTGAAGAAAAAAGAATCCACAATTTAAGGAAAGATTGGACACGGGTTTAAGAAAAAATAAAGTGAAATTGATCTTAATCTATTTTTTTTCGCTCGGATCATACCTATTTGTACCGAATTCACTCAAATGTGTTAGTTATTATCCCAAAAGGAAAAATGTTCTGAAAAATGAATTAATCTCTAAAAAAATTAAATCACACGTCTCAAATAAGAATGCCAATAATTTTGAAATAATACCATATCATGATGATAAGGTTTGATAAATTTTGTAGAACGCCCTCGATCTGAAATTGTTTAACCAAAATATCAAACAATTTGTTCGGGAAACGTAAAAGAACAAACGGTTTTTCGTAAATGTGCAACAAATTGTTACAAAACAAATTGAACAAAATATTGCCATCAAAATTTCACCATTTTAAAGAATAAAATCTCACGTGTTTTTTGAAAGATATTTTTAAACATCAAATATGCGCCAATTTTTTTTTTTGGGAAAATAATTGTGAGCAACATGAACTATACATGATTTTGGGA